TCCCTCTCCCCGTCCTTACGCCTGTGTCCGTTCGGTTCTTCTGGGTGTCAGCGCTGTCAGTTGCCGTCAGTTGCTGTCAGTTGTGCTCGCCCCCCCCCCCTCCTCACACACAACACACGGGCGATATGGGTCGCACACTTCTCATTGCAAACGACCGAAACAAACAGTTCGCGCTAACCCGCTTCGCCAGCCTGGGGCGTGCGGAGATCTGCGTGCAAATAGCGGAGGAGCTCTCTCCACTGCCAATAACAGCGCTCCGCACTATTTGCAGACTGCATCGTGCGGTGTGCTGCAACCAGTACTGAACGTCAGACGCGGAGCCCGCGACCCCGCCCCGCCCCGCCCCGCCTTGTCCCGCGGTCCCAGCTTCCAGGCAGGACCACACGTCCCGTACGCCTCACGCGCTGGTTGGGTTGCCTACAGCCGCGGCGACCGGGACGCCCCCCGCGCGCGTCTTCCATTCCAGGAAAGAAAAGGGCCGGTCGTCACACCTTTCAACAGTTTCTAACGGCGCGTAAAACACCTTAAGACACGCAGTGCGATCCGAATATCCCGAACATCTCTGGAGGTTTTGGAAGCTCACTCGTCGTACAGGGGGAAAGAAATTGACGACGTGCGTTGAATTCTTTTTTTCCAGCCATGCTGCTCGCATGAAACTCACATCACTTTTTATTAATGTACACCGACCTCCCTCCACCTTCTCTACACCGAGACCACGTCCGTGGAGGAGGACGCCTCCTCGTCGCCGGGCTGCTCCGCGTCGGCCGCGGTGTCGGCGGGCGCGTCGCCGGCGACGCCGTGCGCGGCCGCGTACCCGCCGGCCGCCATGACGGCCGCCACGCTGCTGTAGTACGTCGCGGCGCTGATGTGGTGCAGCGGGGGCGGCGGCAGCGGCGGGAAGTAGCTCGCGTGCGTCCCGGGAGGCGGCCCGCCCGCGGCGGCCGGAGGCGGCGGCGGCGGCCCGGGGAACAGCCGGCTGACGGGGTGCTGGTGCGGCGGCGGCGCGGGCGCCGGCGCGCCCAGCTTGTAGCGGGTCGTCATCTGCTTCTTCCACTTGGTGCGCCGGTTCTGGAACCAGGTCTTGATCTGGACCTCGGTCAGGCTCAGCGCCTTGGACAGCTCCATTCGTTTGCTCACGCTCAGGTACTTGTCCACCTGCAACGTGTCGGGGTTCACGTGGATTACCACCAGATTGTCAGACTGCCCTGGACCGTTAATATAGAAAATACTTTTATAAAAATTTGAAAATTACGGCTTACATGTTCATGATTTTTAACAAGCACTTCATCACGAATATCGTAAAAAAATTAATAGCCGTATAATTAACCTCATTTTGATGACAATTATTTTGGAGAATGCTGGCCTACTGGTAGTACTCTCCTTACTGGGAGTATACTGGCCTACTGGGAGTACTCTCTGACTGGGAGTATACTTCACTACTGGGAGTCGAGTACGATGCGGCCCTGCTGGAGTCTGTTGTACTGGCGTATGGGAGTATGCTCTCTTACTGGAGTGTGTCGCCCTACTGGAGTAGGTTGTCGTACTGGGAGCATGCTGCGGGTTGTCCTCCTGTTGACCCACCTTGAACTCCGTCTCGAGCCGCTCCAGCTGCCGCGCGCTGTACGCCTGCCGGGGCTTGCGGTCCAGCCCGGGCTTCCTGGAGCGCCGTCCCGCCGGCTTGGGAGCTGCAACCACAAACACACACACACATGTACTACACACGGCGACACTTTTAGTGGCGTTTCTTTTTTCCTCGTTTCCCGCGTCGGGCTTGCCCCGGGCTGGTTACACCCGCCCGCACTGTATACACCCGGGCGGCCCACCCGCGCACTTCACCCCGTTCCGCTTCGCACCCGGGCGCTAACCAGGTGGGTGGACGACGCACGGCCCGGGCCAGCCAAAGCAAACACCCTTTATGTCGTTATGGCGTGGGTGCGGGCGTTCCGCGAACTGCAGCAGGCGGTGGCCCAAGGGACACACGGATTTGTCAAACGAACATCGAAGTGAAGTCTAAATTTTCTTTCCTCTCGACTACCTCTAAAAATAATATCAGTTTGCATCATGCCAAACCTCGATTTTGTTTTTTGTTTTTATTTATTTTTTGCTAGTGCCTGCAGATCTGCCATCCTGCTGTGTCGAACGTTTCACGCGATGCGAATCGTGTATCCTGCTGCCGTTCTTGTGTTTGCACGAATGGCCGTCGTGTCAGCGCCGCGAGAGCCCATGGCGCGACATCGAGCAGCACATGGCGATGGGCCTCGCAGAGGTCGGGTCGCCTACACCACCACCCGTGGTCCAAAGTTACTGGCGCCACCCTCCTGGTGCGCCAGGATGTCAACTCGTACTCGCGGCCCTGATCCTGGCACTCGTCGGCCGGACGGGCATCGGCCGAGGCGTCGACGGCAGAGCCATCAACTCTTTCGCGGTACGTTAGGATAGGAAGTACCCTTATTGAATGGCGATTTTAAAAAAAATGGTCTTTGTCGGTGGGCCTGTGTAAAATTTTCTTTGATTCTCTGTGGATCATGGCGACGTTTAGGGCCCTTACATACTTCACGCCGACCTCTTTTACATGTGTGAACCACCCAATCGCCAGTTGCCGTGGAGATGGTTTTTCCGCACTTCTCACTACAACCCACGTACGCCAAAAGAATTGCAGCGACTGACTGGTAACGTGACGTCTGTAAATATAACTACTGATGACAGCGTATGGGTAAGATATTGCCGTTAGAGGTAATGCCTTATACCTACACCTTAAAAACCTAGCCGATGCTGATATGGTGGGATTGAGACACGATTACATGGACCGATCTTTATTATCACAGATGAGAATATTTTTAGATATTTGGTCAAACAATCAATGGAAGGAAAACGCCTTTGTTGTCTTTTTTAAAGACAAGGCATGCACGAATCTTAAAGTCCATCTTCCTGGGTTTTACAAGAATGTCTATGCGAAGCAATTAGGTAATCGCGGATGCATAATGAAACCTGTAGGTATACTTAAACATCAAGACTGAGTGTGTTTTTTCCTTCTAAATATCTTATGTACAATAGTGAAGAATGCACTGTGATGAATATTTTATTTTTTTGTCGATATCAATGCCATGTATCGATATCGCCAAAACATCATTCCTCACTGTGTAAGGCTTCAAACACAAAATATTACGAATGCGAGAATAAATGTAAAATCTGTGATCACTTCTATTTACAGGGAGTTTACGCGGCTAACAATGTTCCAATCGACTGGAGCGTTCCAAAAGTCCCAGTTATGCCTTATGGCCGCTACAAGTCCCGACTCTCGACTGGCAAAGCTGACGACCAATACTCGTGCTGGGTGATGGAATTTGTGATATCTCCTAAACTCGAGTAACACCACAACGCCGTGGTGAAAAATGTTTCTACAGTGTCGAAACATTGTCGTTACATTGATACTACTTATCGTCTGAGGTCCCACTTCTGTAGGTGATCGTTAACGTTCGAGAGCGATACCCCGAACGATAACTATGTTGTAACATCGCACTGCTCTCGTGTCCGTTTACAGATAACAAAATATTTGGCAGCGGGTTTGGGTCCTTCACTACAAATTCTAGCATACGCCTATTTTTTTTACTTTTCCTTGATTTGTCTTGGTTGACCTAATTTTGCTAATGTTCTCTAAATTTAAAAAAATTCTGATTTTTAAATATTTTTTTTATTGATTACCCCTTTGGTTTTTCTACTATTTCTTGCAATTTTATTTTTATTTTATTTATTTTTTTTGAGGGGGGGAGAAAGTCCTTCTTGCTCATTGACTCACCCTGGATGCCGAAGAGCGGCGGCGGTCCCTTGGCGGCGCCCAGGCCCCCGGCCAGCCAGCCGCCGTACAGCAGCGAGGCGGGGTAGTGGAAGGGGGCGGGCAGCGGCAGGGCGGGCAGCACCGCGGGGTGGCTGGCAGCAGGGCGCGCGGGTCGCGTGGGCGGCGGGGGCGGCGAGCCGGCGCGGGGGCCCCCGGGGCTGGGGGCGGCGCCGCGGGCCGGCGCTGGCGGAGGGGCGGAGCCTGCGAGAGAGAGCATCAGAGACGGCGGTGAGCCAACCATTCGTGAACAAGAGCGGGCCGCGCAGAAAATGGCGCGTTTGATTTCAAATCCAACCGACTCGTTCCATATCCACAAGACAGTAATTCACCAAAAGGCCAAAATCTCAGTAACATGCCTTAATGCGACGTCAACTTTACATCTTTTAAGGCAGTAAAGATGACAACATTTTGTATTTTGCCTGTCTTTAATGTTTGCCCTTTTTATAAGTAACTTTCCCCTAGGATTTTTTTTTACAGTTGCCAACTTTTGTACTGGGTAACCGGTAGAATACGCGGCAGCTCAATGGGTTGCCTACGACCTAACTGACGTGCAGGCGTGGAGGGCGAGTGCTGTCGCCGGCTGCCGCGTATTCTCCCGGTACAAATGTAAAAGTGGCGACTTAATTTCTTTGGCGAAATCATGTTCTGGATGCCGCATTCATCCTGTATACAAACCTTGGCCGCGGTGCTCGGGGGACGGCGGTGTCCTGGTGGGCCCGAGCAGGCCGAGCCCACCGAGGCCCGGCAGGGACAGCCCCATCGGGAGCCCCGCCGACAGCCCCAGCCCGCTGAGGTCGGCCAGCGCGGACAGCCCGTGCAGCCCGTGCAGCCCGTGCAGGTGCTGCATCCGGATGAGCGCCCCGGACAGGTCGTGGACCGGGTCGGCCGCCGGCCGGGTCGCCCCGCCGTCGCCGTCCTCGCCCACGCGAAACACTCTCCACAGGTCGACGCGGTGGTCACCGAGCCTGTCTGCGGACAGCGGGGGTGACGACGCCGACCCGTTCGGAGTACGCGGCCGCGGCGTGGACCTCGACGTGGAAGTGGCGTCGTCCTCCGAGTCCATGACAACCTCCGTGCCGGACTCCTCGGAGGCGCCCGAGCTCGGGCTTGGGGTGCGCATCCTCCTGTGACCAGCGACCAGGGTGGCTCTAAAGGGACGTTCTATCAGTGAAGGGCAAAAATCGAGACACTCAATTTTTGATTTTGACCAAATACTTTTTTTCTTTCTTGAAATGATGACAAATGATCAGAAAAAAATTGAAAAAAATTTGGCTCAAATGGTTGGTGAAATATACACAAAAAACCATCCAACTCAGAAGACGCGGCAATAAATTTTGTTGAAATATTTTTTTCCTGATTCAGTTTGACATTCTGATTTTAAAAAACTTTGTCCCATCCTCTGGACTTATACGGTTTAAAAGCTAGCTCTCTCTGTAATAGTCTAATTTCTGAGTTTCCGCTAATTTACCTAATAAAATTTTTCCCAACATGTTTGCTAGTGGCTGCTCAGGTAAGAAAATTGTCACGGGGGTTGAACTCAATTATAGAAAGTATATTCTAACAGAAAAAAAGTATCGTACAAAGTAACGTGTAAGTCATCATTAAGTTAAACCCTGTGAGGTTGACTTTAGCTATGGTTTTTCTGACGATACTTTTTTTCTGTTAGAATATACTTTCTATAATTGAGTTCAACCCCCGTGACAATTTCCTTACCTGAGCAGCCACTAGCAAACATGTTGGGAAAAATTTTATTAGGTAAATTAGCGGAAACTCAGAAATTAGACTATTACAGAGAGAGCTAGCTTTTAAACCGTATAAGTCCAGAGGATGGGACAAAGTTTTTTAAAACCAGAATGTCAAACTGAATCAGGAAAAAAATATTTCAACAAAATTTATTGCCGCGTCTTTTGAGTTGGATAGTTTTTTGTGTATATTTCACCAACCATTTGAGCCAAATTTTTTTCAATTTTTTTCTGATCAGTTGTCATCATTTCAAGAAAGAAAAAAAGTATTTGGTCAAAATCAAAAATTGAGTGTCTCGATTTTTGCCCTTCACTGATAGAACGTCCCTAAAGAGTTCAGCGTCCACATACCACAACACACCGCGACGCGTCGCTTACCTGCCGAGGATGCTTTCGATGGAGAAGTGATTCCTGGTGCTTGTGCTGGAGATGACGGCTGTCGGCGACCTCCGCGCGCGCCTCCTGTCGCGCGCGTCGCGGCGCGTGCTCCCGTGGACTCCATGGACGCGATGGCCTCCGTGCTCCCTCGTCGTGGAGCTGACCTGGAGAAGGCTCCCGCCGCTCGCCGCCCTCGGCGAGGTTCTTCCTCCTATCTTTCCGTCGCCGGGCTCCACGTCGACGTCGACGTCGTCTTCCCCGGCCGGTGACGGCGTGGGCGTCGGCCGCAGTTCGTGCACGTGGACGTCATCGCCCAGATCGTGCACCCCTTCGTCGTGCAGCAGCCGGCCGGATGCAGGTAGGGAGGCTATCATGCTCACGGACTCGGGGTACAAAATGTCGCCACCGCATCCGGCATGGCGCGGCCGAGGAGCTGAATGAGACCGTGGTCACCGGGACTCTCTCGGCTCGCACATCGCGGAGGTGAGCCGGGTCCCCGCGACCAGAGTGGCGCGCTTCTTTGCTGCGTGGGCGCGCTGCGCGAGGAGACGACGGTCCCGCCCGGAGGATGCGACGCGGACTGGGCGCGCCTCAGAGCACTGGCCGCCCTGCCCCGGCCTCCCGGACACCCCCCGGACCCCGGGGACCCCGGCGGCCCCGCGCCGCCCTGTGTACCGTGTTGATAGTTTTTAAGGGCGGCATCATTGCCCTGTTTGCTGGCCCGGGGCAAGGGGGAAGAGGAGTGCGAGGGAGAGGGGAGGGGGAGGAGAGGAGAAGGGTGGGTGGGCGGCCGGGCCGGTGAGCGCGCATGCTGGCTGGACCAATGGGAACCGATCAGGTGCTAAATTTCACACCTTCCCACTCCTCCTTTATCTCCGCGTTAAGCCTCCTCCACACGCTTCCTCTCCCCTCCCTCTCTCGCTATCTCTCACTCTATCGCATCCCCCCCCCCTCTCTCTCTCTCTCTCCCTCTCTCCCCCTCTCTCTCTCTCTCTCTCTCCCTCTCTCTCCCACTTTCTCTTCGCCTCCCTCTTCTCCGAGCGTAGCAATGAATTATGACAAGCGAGACGGTTTGCGTTAGTGGTACTTTATCCACCTCAGTCTGATGGAGGGGTTGGGTGGAGGAGGGCGGTGAGAGGGAGAAAGAGGGGTAGGGGGGTAGAGAAAGAGAGAGAAATAGTGAGTGAGGGAAAAAGAGAGAACGAGAGAGGAGGAAGGGGAAAGAGGGAAAATGGGGGGGGGGGGGTCTTCCCCTGGCAGAATGACAGCACAGTGGGCAATCTACTCCACTCAGGGGATGTTCTCGCCTGCTCTGCGTCGCTCGCTCTCTCTCCCTCTCACTCTACGCACAAAAAGAGGCTCGCGCCCTTACTCCACTTAGCGCGACCGATTGCCCCTTCGCGTGCCTCGGCCACGGTGATGTTCGTGGTGTGGGACTTGGCGCTATAGGCGCGCCGTCCGAATATGTGAGGTGTTTCGGGAGAGGCGAGTCAGTGAAGAGAGCGAGAGAAAGAGGGTGCGAGGAATAGACAGAGGGGAGGGGAGGGGAGGGGGTGCGAAAGTGACTCAACGACAAGTTTTCGTGTTACCTTCGAGATAAGTCTATACGTGTTTGGATTTCCTGCGATGCCTGCGACTGTGCCTGGTCCACCACTACAAAAATAGAAGCCCCTCAGTTACATTAAGGATTACCGGAATCGAAATGAAGCCCCGGACTGAATCTTTTTAGCAGATGCAGACGCTCCTCGTCTACCCCGATAGTCCACCAAATTGCAAGATTGCAACAGACTGCAAACAGCCATAAACAAATAATGACAGCTAAATATAAGCAAACATTAGAACACAAACCTGACCTTAAATTTGTATCATCTGCTTTATTATTTTCCATTTGTTGACCGCTACTCGCCCAGGTGACACAAATTGTTTGGGATAAGCCGACGTCAAACATTGCGTTTTTGTTGTGCTTTCTTTTATCGCGTGATCAGTTTCGTGTGTTGTTGGTTTTTAGAGGCGCGGCACTTTGGCTCGTTAATGTCATCACGCTTCGCTTCCCCGGTGTGGAGAGTGGGTGTTTGCGCGGTCGACAGGCTTCTGGAGGGAGGGGGGGGGAGGAGGTAATGGAGTTCAGGACACCAGCAAGTGCTCTGCTTCTCACGCCGGCGCCTTCCCCCGCAGCCTCCGCGGTTGCTGCGCGCGCGCGCTGTGGTTGGCCGCCCGGGCAGCGCTTACGCCCCTAGCAGCGCCCAATGGGCTTCGAGAGCCGCCGCCGTGTGGCGTCGCGGCCCGGCCAAGGCGGGGGTTTTTAGAGGCCCCATCTAGCCCCATAAACGAGTTTCAGAGGCGCCCCCCCCCCCCCTCGCTCCACCGCCCGCCCTTTTGCTCGTGCTCGCACACCCCCTCCTCCTCGGACCATCCGTCTCGGAGAATGCGGACGCCAAACCCATCTTCTTGTGTAAAAGCGTCATCCCGTGAATCGGTTTGAGCCGCCGCCGGTCTTCTGAAGGGATGAAGGATGTGCGGCACCCGCTGCCTGTCGGAGCTCAGCATGGCGCCGCTTCCGCTCTATGCTGCTCCGTCAGCGAGAGCTGCTTTTTCCGGATCCGAGCAGTAAAGATTTCCCCTGGAAAACGTTTTCCCCGCCGCTGCTCCTGCTGCTTCGCGCGGGCGAAATCTCTCGCCGACCATCATCCCCTCGTAAACCATTTTACCTGCTTGGTTCTCGCTTCCCGCAGCAACCCCCTTTCTCCCCCGCCCGCTCCGCTCCCCGCGGGTGGTGTTCCTCCTCACGCAAGCAGTGTTGTTCGCGGGCCCGCC